AAAAAAAAAAAGAGAAAATGTTAAGATAACAAAACCAGACTATAATACAGTAATGTTCAAAGGGACTAGGAGAGATTAACAAATACTTTTGTACTGTTCAGAAATACCTGTCAGATCAGTCTTACCAGTGTCTCTAGGATTTGCAGAAGGATGTGGCATGGGATCACCTGTAGACAAATAAGTTAGAATAAATTGAGTAAAATTACTCTTGTGAAGAAACCAGAAGCAGAGTATGGAGTAACCTTGAAAGATGATCTGACCTAAAATATTATATCAAAACTTGACCATGTAATTTTCCTTTAATTAGCTAATGCTGTATTTCCTTGGTTGTCTTAGCTAAATACTGTTTTAATGCCAATAAGGGCTTTTCTGCTACATTGACCAGCACGTCAGATCCTTGCTAGGATGGAACCTACACAGAAAAACTCATTAACTCTTATTCAGCATTTTAGTTTGCACATCTGCTTTAAATTTTTCTACCAGGTATCAATTACTTGGTTGTTTTCTCTTTTGGAATTACCAGGTTTTAACCGAATACAAAGCCTGGTACCTCACTTGAAAAATAGAGAAAAAAGTACAGAGAATAGAACTAGACTAGGTCCACACAATGACATTTCATTTGGCTTGCCATAAAATAGGAAAATAAGAGCTCTTAGAAATTATCTGTGTACAGTTTTGTCACAACCTTCACATTAGAAAGAATACTTTCCTTCTAATTATTTTAAACAGATTAATCTTTCCTTGTACTACTAAAAATACTTCCTGAAATGGGAGAGATTACTTTGGAATTAGCATTTACTTCTGTAAGTAAGTTTATGGAGTTAGTGCCATCTAGTGAAAAAACAGCAACAAAACAAGTAGAAGCTGGCTAAAAAATTATTGAAATTCCTACAATTTTGTTGATCCAGATCCTTAAGATTAACAAACATAACTAGGCTGAAGTTATTTTTATTGACAGTCTGCTACCTTAATCAACCCAGTGCCTTATTATACTTAGGTCATAAAGGATGGATAGACATTGCACCAGGTACATTTGAGCTGTACCCAGGAAAATAAGATACTTACCAAAATCAAGCGCCTCGGACAAATCAAAATCATCTACAAAGAAAGAAGGGAAGTTTTAAATGTAATGCAAAAATTACTCTTAGACTACTTTTCAAATAAAATGGACCTCACAACCTTTTCTCTACAAATGAAAGGCATGCTCACTCATCAGTGAAGCCACTCACAGAAAAGCCCTAAAAAGTTACCAGGATTATGTGCCAAGTGACTTGCTGCTTTTGGAGATGATGGGACCTGTCGAGGGCCTGCTCAAGGTAAGCAAGCTCCAAACATGTAGACCGAAAATCAAGGGAAGGCATTTTCACAGGGTTTTAAAGCTTGTGAAATCACAAAACACATTTCTGAGAGCAGATTCCAAAATGAAGAAATCCTTCTGCTGTTAGGGAACTGCTTTCTTTTATAGAAATATCACAACCCTGTGTGCCACTAAATTGAAAGATTCAGGATCTCAAGTTGGTAGGTGTACTACACTTGGTTTTACAGTAAAAGGCATTACAAGCCAATTAGATCTCACCTGCACCTGATGATGGTGTCTTCTGAGTTACAGGAGGCTTCTTTGTATTTTCTGTCAGGTATGGTTAGGGAAAAATAATTACATACTAATTCAAATAAATCAATAAATACTAATAAATTATAAATATAAATAATAAGCAATAATCAAATAACTATAAACACACTAATAAATATAAATAACTAATAAATAAATACTAATAATTAAATAGTCAAGTACTATTTAACACACTATTCAGAAGACACATGAAGGACAAAGGACAAATCTAAGTACATGTCTATACATCAAAATGCACAAAATCAAATCTATACAGCAATAAATCTATAAATCAATTTCGCCTCTAAGAGAAATCTTTAAGTCTTCAAAAGACGAATTTGAGTTCTATGTGGTCAACATCTTGACAAACACATGGCTGAATTGTTTCACTGAGGTTTAAACCAACCATATGTGGCAAAGTTGTCATGCTTGGTCAGGCAGTAATACGTAGAAATCAACAAGTACAAAGAGCAGCCACAATTTTCCTACCTACCTTCCAAAAGTGCTTCATCTAAAGAGAAGTCATCTTGGCCTGTAGAAGATAAAAAACTATAAAGACACTGCTTTTTCTTACTCAAACACAACATTTAATAAAGTCATAAACATGTCTGTGATCAATCATGAGGTATGTTTTCTGCTTCCCGAGTCAGTCTAGAAAATATTTTGAATCAGGGCTGAAGACAGACATTCTTTCTATTTCTCCAGGTCACTATCCATACATCTTTTCAGAAAAAAAAAGGAACCACACTAAAAATTTGCTCTATAGAAATTACCTGAAGGCTTGGAACATACATTCCTGCAGCCAACAATGCACTTTATTCTTGCCACTGCTATTGCATGTTTTGTTAGTGCCATCCACAGCATATTCTTTCCCAACCTTCTTTCCACTGAACCACAAAATAAGCTGGAGGACAGCTCCAATACAAGGTTGAGGTGTGAAGAAAAGCCTTGGAGCACAAAGGTCATTATGAAAGCTATTATGTAATGGAGTTAATATCTTGGCATTAAAAATTAATTGTCATGGGTTTAACCCTAACCCTTTCCCTCTAACCCTTAACCTAACCCAAACCCTTTCCCTCTAACTAGGGTTAGCAGTATGGAGGTGGTTAAGATATTAGCACATTTGATCTTGAACAGTTTTTCAACTTCCTAAAACACAGCTAAATTCAGCTGGCACAACCATGGGGTCTCCACTACAGGGAGATTAGATTCTATTTTCAGTCCTTAGGAAAAAGAATACTGTTTCTTGCTGCATCAAATCAGCTGCTACAGGTACTGCTGCTTACCCAGCCAACTGCAAACACACCAACTCAAGACAGAAATGACACAAACTGATTTCACAGCACAAATGTAGTGGTGTGATCTCAGCAGCAGAGGCTTGTAACATAAATGCTTGGGGTGTTTCTAATTTTTTTTTTCTAAGAACTGCTTGGGGTGTTTCTAATTGTTCACCATCCCTACTTTCACTGAAGCATGGAATAAGAAAAAGGCGTGAAAGTAGCTATCAACTATTCAAGAAAAAGACATTTAAATATACTGCTTCAGCCCCACAGAAGCTGGATGACTTTTTCTACCTACTGAGGCTCAAGCCAGCCAGAGCAGTTGTTATTTCCGAACAGAAACTACCTTAATTCAGAAGGTATTTGCATAAAGCACTGTATGTCTGACTTTTCCTCTAAGAATGTAACCACCAAAGCGGCATCAGAACGAGCTACTGCAAAGTCTGAAGAGAGGAATAACAACAAATATCAAAATCAAACTAGAGGCAGAATGTACCTTTCACTTACATGACAGACCAAGTTAAGACAAGACATGAGTCTAATATCAGGAATGATGAATGCTTATATACCTGGTGACATCTTTTGCTGTAACTGAGGTAAAAATTGAAAAAATTGAAATCCCTTTCCTTCTCAGATAACTGCATTAATAATGTTGGGGTTTTTTTTTGTAATAGAGAAGCAACTGCAATGGAATAAAAAACAAAAAGTGCACTCTGGCCAACTAAACTGGTACAGCAGAAACTGAAATCTGAAGTCTAAGAAGTGATTCCCATACTGTAACACTTGAACTAAAACCACCTTGCTCACAGCCAAGTAAGGAAACAAACCTACCTGGTCTCTGACAAGCCCTTTCATGGAAACAGAGGTGACTGATGGCTTTATTGTGGTGCATGAGCAAAGCGCATTTAAAATCTCCTGAATAAAATAGTAGGTATAGATCTTGAACAGAAAGCAAGAAGATATACTTGGTATTCCTTATTTCAAGTGGAGACCACAGCTCTGTTAGATTACTAGAAAGTACTTCACAGAATGTAAAATATTTGCAGGTCATTTATCTGAAGTCTACATCAATTTGCAATATAATTTTACAAACCCCTGTAAAGTTAGCAGGTGCTAAGACACAAATGCCAGTTACTTCTGAAGTTACTCTTTTGCTTGGACTACACCAAGAGACCTCTGTATTAACAGGCAAAAAAAGGTCAAAGCACTCCTAAGGAATTTTAACAGCTATTTGCATAGCTGTTCCTCAAACCTGAATTCTAGTTTGCTTGTGTTCTCAAGCACATATATCTCTCAGGCTAGAGTCCTCTGGGATGTATGCCTAGGACAGGACCTGATCAGAATTTGGTAGTCTAACTCCAAGAGGGCAGGCAGAGGAATTTGCTGAAAATATGCACTTCTCAAAACACTCTACCAGAGTAGCACCCAGAAGAGGGACCATAACCAACTGGTAACACCATCTGTTAGTGCTAAGGTATAGCACTAACACAATGAACATTACACTGGTTTGTGTATATGTTACACATGTTTGTGCATATTTCATGCCTGTTTCTTTCCAGGCAGATGGAAAAACAAGCACATACGCTCAGCTTTATGCTTTAGTGCAGCTGAAATTCTACCTGGAGAAGAAAAGAGGCTATATGAAGAGTTTCCCACTGCCAGCATAAAACTCAGTGCAGGAACTCAGAATGGCTTCAGCCGCAGCAGCTTCCCTCAAGAGGAGGAAACCTTTGTAAAAGGGTGTGCTTCCAGTGATGTTGCTATTTTAAGGGATTTTGCACATGAGCTTCACAGAGAAATAATTTATGATCAGATTGCTGACTGCCAAGCTCGTGTAAAAAATGCTCTGACAGGAATAAATAAAATTGTGAGTCAATGAAAGAAAAACATAATCATGCTTTATTGACTAGAATTATTATTCTGAATGCAAAATTTTCTTTCCAAGCATGCAGCAAGATTATCAGGCTTCTCATACACATTACTTTTTTGACATAAGATAGCAAAAAGTATAAAAATTTAGCTCATGGAACTCATTAAAATAATCTGCCCTCTAAGGTGCTGGAAGTCAGCTTTCCCACCAAGAAAAGGTATTTCTCCACTGTTTATGACAAACCTTCCTATGTCTTTAAAGCAGTTGCTTTTATAAATGTACTCACTCCACTTTCAGTATGAGTGGGTCCAACAAAAGTAGAAATTCAGTGATAGTTTAGTCTAAAAGGAGAAGAGCTCAGTTATGATTCAGCTGGTTCCAGGAAAAAAGTAATTAGAAAACAACAAATAAAGCTACAAAACTAGAACAGGGTACTATCAGGGTCCAAGAAGGAAAAGTCAGCAAGAATATGCTGCACTCCCTGCAGACTTAAGAAACACCCAGAGAAACTAAGCTTACAAGCATTTGCTTAGTCTAAATAAGGATATTTACAAATAAAGCAGATATTGCATTGCATATGAAGAACAACAGGTATTTCTTAGTCCTAGGGGAGTGAGCAGATTGAAGAATACTTCAGAATTGTCTACACTATTTTCCTTTCACATCTGTATCTCAAATACCTGGATCTCAAGAGACAGATCTGTAGCAATGCATCTGAACCACTTAGACAACAGTGTGCACCAGCCATTTCGCTTGTAACTGCTCTTATCAGAATTTTCTCAGGGTTCTCTGGAATTCATCAAGGTTACTAAGACATAAACTGTACTAAAATAAGGAAGAAGAAGCTGAGAAACCTAATTCCAAGACCACAAGAAGGAGATACCAGAGAGCTGTGAGCCACCTGGGCTGTAACCAATCACATATTCTGAGAAGTGCATGAAAAACACGTGGACAAGCAAAGGCACCAATAAAAAATGTGTGATCAGCATGGGTAGTATGGATCGCAGACCGAATTTGTCCCCTCTTCAAACTTGTGCTGCCCTGATAGACCCAAGGGAGAGTAGAGTTAGGATGTATAAATAAGTGCATAATGTAAACAATAAGCAGCTTCTTCTTAATCATACTAGTCAGTTGTCCAGGAGTTCTGAATTTCCCCCACACATCTTCACCAGACCATCTCTAGTTTGGTTTGGTATGCTTGGTTAAACATAGTTTGTCTTAGCTGGGGGGGGAACAGTAGGTAAAAGAAAAGGAGCAAACATAGGCTTTGAATAGCTGAAGAACTAGAAGGTATTCAAGAGATCCAAGGAAGCAAATCAGAGTGCAAAGACCTTTGCAAAGAACTGTCACTGCTCTCAGGTACTTCCTGATACAGTATTAGATTAGTCATATTCACATTTCACTGCAGAAGGCAGAGAAGTACCACCTCCTCATGTTCAAAATAAGTAAAACCCAGCTGACCACAGTCCTGGGCAACCTGCAGTGGCTGACCTTTCTGAAGCAGAGGGTAAGACTAAAAGGGCCCCAGCTTCAGCAGCCTATGATTCTGTGACATGGGCCAGTCCTAGCCACTGGGCTATACTCCTTGTGCTGCAAAGTCATAGAACTAAAAATAAAGTAAGTCACTCTGCAATTTTTTTATAAATGAGAACTAAAATACACTGCTCTGTCTCCTGCAGATTGAAAGCAGAAACCCAAGCTACACTAACAAGAGCTGCTAGAAGAATATTTGGGTGATGGAAGCATGACAAGAATGACAAATTTTGGAGGTAGGGATGGGAAGTAGAAGGAGAAGAAAAGCATTTTGCAAAATGCAAATGTAATACAACAAGCAATCAGAAATCACTGGATGTATTTATTTGATTCTTTTGTTCATTTTTTTCTTACCTGTAATTTCAGGAGGGCCTGACCACAACTGAAGACTGCAAATGTCATATACTATGCTTATTGCTATTTCACTTACATACTTGCCCTTACCAAACATAAATGCACTACTAAAATTAGTGAGCATTTTAATTATTACTAAGTTACCTTTTGTGTCAATTCAGGGACTAAAGCAACATACAACTGGCGGCCAGAACATGGGCTTGTCTACATCCATGTGCAGCAGTCATGGCACCTTCCTCCCTATCTTCTACCTTCCTCTAACACCTTCCATAGCAACCCCTAAACCACGCTGAGGCACTCTATGCATTAAACATGAAGTTACTTCATGTTATCAAGGCCAGACCCAGAGCCACTGCTACCACTGCCTTCTTTTGCATCAACAGGGCAAAGCCAGCCCTGTTCTTCACGTCCTGGAGCAGGCAAGGAGTACCCCTGCCCCTCTTCCCAGGTCTCAGTGTAATCTCTGTTCCTCTAGGGAGGCTCACAATGGGCCAA